AACAAGAATTACCAGCATTCTGAAACAGGAAGAATCACACAAGTCCATAGAGGAGATAGTTGAAGAGCTTCTGGAAGAAAATTTCTCTAATATCCTGAAAAGTGAAAAGATAAGCATTCAAGAAGCTCAACGAATCCCAGGAAGGATAGATCCCAAAATAAAATCACCAAGACATATCACAATCAAGCGCTCCAAAATCAAAGGAGACAATCCTGAAAGTAGCTAGGGAAAAGAGAAGTGTTACATACAAAGCTACATCAAATTTAAAGCTTTTAAGCATAACTAAGTTGTCAGCAGAAAGATCCAGTTATTTATAACTCAAGTTAAAATTACTAAATTATTGCACCCACAGTTAACATGAATATTAAGTGTAAAACTGCTTTATATTATGATATGAAGTAATTTATGTTTAAACATCTTTTCTCACAAGATGATCATCTATTATGTAAAATTAATTATACAAAGTAGAACTGCTTCGTAGGATTTCAGAGACTGTCCATCTTTACAGAAGCACACTGCTTCATCTTTCTCCCATGGAATGGCTGGTGGGTTTGAACCACCAACCTTTCAGTTAGCAGCCCAACACTTTACCCTTTATACAATTAGGACATACCTATTTTTTAGAATGGCTAAAAGTTAAACACACAGAGTTGTTGTTGTTGTTAGGTGCTGTCAAGTCATTACCAACTCATAGCAACCTTATGCACAACAGAATAAAACATTGCCCAGTCCTGTGCCAATTACAACCTTACAATTGTTGCTACACTTGAGTCCATTGCTGCTGCCACTGGGCCAATCCATCTCATTGAGGGGTCTTCCTCTTCCCTGATTGTAAGATACATAGGATCTAAGACCATGCGTACAATCTTCACCACTGTATTTTCAGAGTTAACCACAGAGCCTATCATATAAAAAATACTCCTTATTTGTTGAATAATGAATGAAATAAACATTTTTTCTCTCTCTCTCTCCTGATCAGATGTTGGCTCCACCTAAAAAATGGACTTATATGGGGATTTCTTGGACCAGTCTGTGCCATCTGCTCTGTGAGTAATGACACCAGAGCATCCTTTACTATCCAGGTCAGGGTCACTAAAAGAGCAAGATTCATAAGGAAGCAGGAGGAGGAATGTCTCTGAGTTGTCATGGGTTTGGTTTGACTGCTCCTAGATCTACAAACTCCAAGACTCCTACCATTGCTGCTGAGTCAATTCCAACTCATGGTAACCATAAAGAGCAGAAAAGACTTGCCCCACAAGGTTTCCAAGGTTATAAACCTTTATGGAAGCAGCCTGCCATAGCTTTGTCCCATGGAGCTGCTGGTGGGTTGGAAACACTGACCTTTTGGTATCAATTGAGCACTTAATCACTGCACCATCAGTGTTCCTATCAAAGACTGTTACTAAGTGTAAAGCTATTCAATTATAGAATTGTTGTACAGGATAGGGTGAAGAGATATTAAGTTTGAAATGTTATTCAATAAACCTCTGATTTCTCAAAGGTCAATTTTGCTTTGTTTCTGATGACCCTTTGGATTTTGAAAAACAAACTCTCCTCCCTTAACACTGATGTGTCTACCCTTCAGAACACAAGGTAAGGTGAAGAAGCACAGCCCCAGAGATGTGTGTGGTCTGAAGAGCAAAGTCATGTGCCTCTGCAGCTCCTTGATAGCCTTTCTCAGAGTAAACAAATGCAAAAGAAGCCTTCTATGGCAGCCCACTCAGATTAATAATACAATAATAACACAATAATCTTTACAGGAGCACATTGCCAGGCCTTTCTTCTGTGGTGCCACTGGCTGAGTTAAAATCATTATCTTTCCATTAGTGTTTCTAGTGTTGTTAAGTGCCGTCAAGTTGATTCCAACTCAAAGTAACCCTGTATACGGTTTCCAAGGAGCAGCTGGTGAGTTTGAACAGCCAACCTTACAGTTCAAACAGACCTTGAGGTTTAGTGCTTATCCTACAGCGCTACGCAAACTGTTTGTGGCACCCAGTGAAAAATCTTATTCAGTATCAGGACCCCTTGTAGTGGTGGTTGTGTGCCATCAAGTCAGTTCCAACTCAACGACCCTGTATAGGGTTTCCAATACTGTAAATCTTTATGGAAGCAGAAAGCTTCATCTTTCTCCCATGGAGTGACTGGTAGATTCAAACTACTGACCTTGCGGTTAGCAGCCCAGCTCATAATCTACTACGCTACCAAGGCTCCTTTCAAGTTCCCTTGTTGCTGTTACTGTTAAGTTCAGTCAAGTTGGCTCCAACTCATAGTGACTCCATATAGAGTTTCCAAGAACTGGCTGACCGGCTACAACCGCAGACCTTGCGGGTTCACATTCCAGTACTTATCATATGGAGCCACTGCCTTCAGGTCCCTTGTTGTTGTTTAGTGCCCTGGAGTCAGTTGACTCGTAGAAACTCTGTATAGGGTTTCCAAGGAGCAGGTGGTGGGTTTGAACCTCAGACCTTTTGGTTAGCAGTCCAGTGCTTATCCTATAGTGTCACACTATGTCCCCTAAGAGGCTTAAATTTCCTTTGCTTTTCTCCAGGCACCCTTGTGTAAAATTAATGTTTTCTCTAGAATTCTATCATTATCTTCCCAAATATTGCACATCAGTGTTTGGTTGAATTAGTCATTTGACTGTTGTTGTTACATGCCATGGAGTCAGTTCTGACTCATAGCAACCCTGTATAGGGTTTCCAAGAAGCAGCTGATGAGCTTGAACCCCCAACCTTGCAGTTCAAGCCAACTTTGCAGTCCAGCACATTAACCCACAGCGCCACACCAGGACTGGTGGTGGTGGAAGTTATGTGCCGTGGAGTGGGTTCCGACTCACAGCGACCCTATACAGGGTTTCTGAGGCTATAAATCTTTATGGGAGTAGAAAGCCTCATCTTTCTCCTGTGGAGCAGCTGGTAGTTTCAAACTGCTGACCTTGAGGTTAACAGCCCAATTCATAACCACTATGCTACCAGAGGACTAGAACTCTATAAAAAAACAGAAAGCTTGTTTTTTATTATTAACTCCCAGGCCCTAACTTACAGTCAGGTATATGATAAGCACTAGACTACAAGGTGGATTTGAACCACAAGGTGGCAGTTCAAACCCACCAGCTGCTCCTTAGAAACCCTGTACAGATCACTGTGTCAGATCCAGCTCGATAGCACTTAACAACAATATCAGTTAAATAATTTAAGGATCTTCACGAAACATCACAATTGTTTTGAAATCAATATGATGAAATGTCATTATTCTCTTCAGTCAAAATGTCCGGGCCTATCCCTTGGAGGACTCATTAACAGTGAAGACAAAGACTGAGCACAACTCAGTCTGACAACTCATCACTAGGGAAGAGAGGGCTTTGGTAGAGGTGACCGTAAGGTGGAGATGAGAATGACCTTGATTTGGGTGCTCTGGGTGCATTCCTTGTCTTCATTTCCAGGATGCTGACATTTAAAGCAATAGCTCAGCTCTTCATCCTGGGCTGCACCTGGATTCTGGGCATCCTGCAGTTGGGTCCAGCTGCTCAAGTCATGGCCTACCTCTTCACCATCATCAATAGCCTGCAGGGCATCTTCATCTTCCTTGTGTACTGCCTCCTCAGTCAGCAGGTACTACTGCCCAGCTCCCACCTAGGTCTCTTCTTGTCATCACCCTTCTCAGTGAGCTAACCCTTAGCATGCTTTGCCTCTGCAGGTCCGAGAGCAATATGGGAGATGGTTCAATGGGGCTAGGAAATTTAGATCCGAGTCTGAGATGTACACACTCTCTAGCAGCAGGGACATGCCTGATGCCTCCAAACACAGCATGGTAAGATCATGAACTATTCTTCCCCAGAGCTCTTCGCTAATTGATCCACTCAAGCATCACATATTAATCAGATTGGGTAATCTGGGTCTACAGCAGGTGATGTCCTAGGATGGCCCATACTCAGTTTACTTCTCAATTCACTGAAGGCATTTTCCTCTATTAACAATGGTCTTAGTTACAAAATTTGTTTAAAATATATATTTGTTGCTCATACTCATAAAGGAACGATATTCCTCCTGACTCTCACATAACAACATTTTAATTCAACATCTCCATGCTATGCATGGTGCCATCTACTTTTCAGTTCTATTTTTTAAGGCAAAAAACCCTTCCTTCTGGTGAGCTAAGTACACAGGAATCAGTGATGGGAAGCACTGATGCTCAGTATTCTCAGAAACACACGAGTCCACTGTTTCCTTCTGCAACTACTCCTATTTCATAGTCACTTGGCACCATCACACCAAAACAAGGCCAAAGGGGGGCAAGGTGTGCATATTTATGAAGTAAACAGAAATAAGTGTTAACTACCATATGAAACAAAATTCAACTAGTCAGCCTGGTATTTTCAGCATGCTCTACCCACTTTAAAACTGGAAAGGAAAAGATGTCACCGAATGGGATCATTCATGGCAACGATTACTAATAACCAACCCTTACTGGTTTCAATTTGCAAAGTTCATATACTTACATTTTCCCACCTCTTCTCCATATTCCCTTCTGTGTGATTATGATCCCATTTGACAGGTGAGTAAAAGTAAGACTCACTGGATTTATGTGAATTGTGCCCCTTCATTCAGTGAAATTTTAACCCTTTGGGCCTTCTTTCCAGTTTAAAGGAGCCCACCACACTGCTAAGCCATCCTTTTGTATGTCTCTCATCAACTTGTTCACCCAATTTCCACAGTCACTGGTTCTTCCATCCTGTTCCCATTGCCCAGCAAATGTTCTCACAACCTATTCCACAGAGGAAATTCAAGTCATCAAGATGACTGTGTGAAAACTCCATGTCCTCAATCATACCAACCAAACATCAGCATCCTTCCTTTCCACAATGCCATCAGTACCACAGACACAGTGTCCTTTCTCCTACTTAAAGCAACGTTTCCACCTGCATTTAGGATCCCACAATTCATGGCTTGTCAACATCCTTATATAATGGTTCATACACTCATTCTCTGATACAGGGTAGCATAGTGGCTACAAATTGGGCTGCTAACCTCAAGATCAGCAGTTCTACACTACCAGCTGTTCTGTGGGAGAAAGAGGAGGCTTTCTGCTACCATAAAGATTTACAGCCTCAGAAACCCTACACCAGGTTGCTATGAGTTGGAACTGACTCCACAGCACACCACCACTACCACCACCTTCCCATTTATGTTTTTGTTTGTTTTTTTTTCATCCAACAAGGAGGTACTATTTGGTACTATATCCTTTTCTAGTTACTAGTCAAGAGTTGGCTTTTCGGTCTAAATTTCCAACTCCCACTCATTCCTTCAGCCAGTGCAAATATGGCCTCTTTCCCCCCATCATGCTACCAAAACCAATCTTAGGCCTACAATGACCTCCATGTCCCTAAATGCCCTCTCATCTACTTCTGACACTATTAATCACCCTTTCTTCCTGAAACACCCCAACCTCATCTCTTCTACATTGTTCTAACACACTCTTCCATGTCTTTCCTTCTATCATCGTTATCTTCGTCCCATATTCTTATTCTCCTACCTCCCTCTATTCCTTATAAAACCTCTTGCATCACTTGAATAATTTTTAAACCTTGAGATGCTTAATTACATTTGTAAAGTCTCTTCATGGTCTTACATTCACAGTTTCTGAAGACTGGAACATGGATATATTGGGGGAACCATTATTCTGTCTACCACACCTATCACGTATAGGCTTGGTTTACCTAGTGTTGTTGTTGGATGCCATCGAGTCCATTTCAACTCAAAGCAACCCTGTATAGGGTTTCTGGGGAGCAGCTGGTGAGTTTGAACCACCTACCTTATGGTTCAAACTGACTTCGCAGTCCAGCGCATTAACTCACAGTGCCACACTAGGACTATCAAAATCTGCCTCATTTTATAAACACTTGAAAAATATTTACCTCTCCAGCCCCACCATACTCCCCACAGAGATGACATACACATTGAGGGAAAGAAACAATGTTTTCTATCTAGAGAAATAGAGTAACAGCATCAAATACAGTCATTGAAAACTTGAAATTTTCAAGTTACCTGATCTGATATTTCTATTCTTTATGCTGCAAGGGGCCAAACAAATCCATTGTTTAGTGTAATTTTACCTTGTATGATCTCAAAAACTTGTAATCTCTGATGTTTGAAGATGTGAGGGATCTCCTTCTTATGGCATCTTTTTGGGGTCTCCTGAAGTCTTAAGAAAAACAAAAACTTTGTACCATGGTCAGCTCTGAAGAGTTTCCTGGAGCATAATATTTATTAATCTGAGTAGAGATCCAGACATGTAAAGCTGTCCATCCCAAACACTAGAAATTGCACTGAGCTTCCAATAGATTTAGGAATCAATAATTTGTTGTGGGAATGAAAGAATATGAGAAAAAGGTAATCCCTTCCTTTTTATCTTAGGTGATTAACACTAGCTAGCATTTCCAACCTCTCGTTAATTTCCCAGTTGCCCTTTCATGATTCCATATAAAAAGCAAGGATATTTGGGTGGCACACGTGATTTGCACTCACCTACCTGAAAGGGTTGGCAATTCAAGCCTACCCAGTAATGGCACAGAGGAAAAGCCTGGCAATGTGCTTCCCTAAGAGCAGAGCCAAAATCTGCTCTGTTAACACATGGGGCTGCCATCAGCCAAAACCAACTAGACAACAACGGGCTTTTGTACATAAAGTAACACTTGGCAAACCCTGAAGCAGAGGTATGAGGACAGACATTTTGAAAGATGGATCATTTTTGTCACACTTAACTGTTCTCTCTTTTGTAGTTTGAGGATTAGAAAATGTTGGGGAGATGAGATGCTAAGAAACAAGACAGTCTAGCAAAATGCAATTTGATATGCCCTCTTGATCTTCATCTGACAAATCCAGCTGTCAAGGAAATAATGTAACTAAAGGCTTCTTAAATTTCATAGTTCCTTTTTCAAAGTGGACTTAAAATGTATCTTTCTACAGTTTAATATATCATTGCTAAAATCTATCTTTCAGGTTAACTAGAAATCTCTTCTGAACTACACCTCTTGTCCCACAGAAAACTGAAAATGCCATCATTCTTTGAGCCATGAAGTCGGAAACAGAAGGCTTTGTTGTGTGTTTTTCCAAGTAATTTATCATGTCAACAATGTGGAAGAAGTCATGAAGGATATGTCTGACACCCAATTCCTGCAGAATCTGGACTTTTCTGTGCTCAGAAAACTCTCAGCATACAAGGGGCAAGCTATAGCTCAATTCCTTGGTCACCTTGTATTAGGGACTGAATTGTTTGCCTAGAAATGGTGGGTTGTAAAACCTAATTTCTATACCTATGTCTATAATCCTATTTGGGATTGGGTTATCTTTGTAATGCTACTGGGGCAAGTTTAGTGTATGTTACATCTTGAATTCATCTCTTTTGAGATATAAAAGAAATTAAAATGCAAACTAACAAGGAGAGATTGGGGGAAGAGAGATGAAGACTGCCCAGGAGAATAAGCTCAGAAGACACATGAACCTTCCTCAAAATCCAATGGAGAGATAAAGCCTTCCTCTACAGGCAGCGCCCTGAAGTCAGGCTCCTACCCTCCTAAACTGTGAGAAAATAAATGTGTCAAAGCCATCCATGTGTGGTATTTCTAGTATACAAGGGCTAGATAATTAAAACACCTTCAATTAAGCTCTACTCTAGTCTCTCCTCCTCCTTCAAAGACTCTTCTAGATGCTGAAAGTCTATAGGCAGGAAAGCAAGCTCAAAGAACTTTTATACAAAGAACATCCAAAAGGACTAGAATGTTTGCATTTCTTCACTTCCTTGTTCTCTTTTTCTATAAATTTCATTTTCACTCATTTGAATATTGAATACTTGTCATATCAAAGGGAGAGTTCACAGATCTGCCTTCATGGAATTTCAAGGGGAAATAAAGTGATACTTGCATCTAGAGTTGACTCACAGACAAAAAGATTCCTAAAAAATTTCATCTCTACAGCTGGACAATTGAAGTATAAACCATTTCACAGGCACAGTCTTCTTTTATCCTCACATCAAGATGCAGAAAGTTTCTAAGCCCAGACTAGGAATGAGCAGATTTCCATATAAAGGAAAGGTTTACAAGACTCCTAGGTGTCCTGATCATTTCTGCTTTCCTGAAACCTAATTACTTTCCACTGCTCATTTCTGCTTTCCTGAAACCTAATTTCCACACAGCCATAAAGCCTTAAAGATGTTCACATACAGGATACAGGATGATGGACTGAAAGTCTAAAACTCAAAAACAAAATTATTAAAATGATATGAGAAAATATATGTTATTACAAGAATTATAACTTCCAGGTATGGGACATCAGAACCAAAAAGAAAAAGCAATGAGGTAAAACCCTGTAACAAATCTTAAAAGCTTTTTAAATGGCAAACAAAGTCGTAAACAAATTCTGAAGTCAAGTAATGCAAAATATTTGCATTACATAACAAAAGATTAATATTAAAACCCACTGTTGTCTAGTTGAGTTGACTCATAGTGACTCTGTATAGGATTTCTCAGACTGTAAACCTTTAAGGGAGCAGAAACCCTCAACTGACAGCCTTATGGTTAACAGTCCAGTGCTTATCCTACAGTGCCACCAAGGCTTCTAAAGATTAATATTAGAAACACAGAATGAAGTTTTGGAGCCCTAGTGATGAAACACTGGACTGCTAGTCACAAGGTCAATGGTTCAAACTCACTAGTTGCTCATCAGAAACACTATACTGGATTGTTGAGTCCAACTGACTCGACAACACTTAACAACAAGAATTTGTGAAATAATTAAGAGCTAGACTGATAACCAAAATTCAGCAACTCAAACCCATCAGTGATTCCATATAAGAACAAAACCTAGTGATCTGCTTCCAATGAGATAACAGACTAGGAAACCCAATGACATAGTTCTACTCCGTCCTATAGGTTTGCTGTGCCACCTGAAGCAACTCGATGGCACACAATATAGAATTAACTTAGAAATTAGCAAGACCTTAGAATCTGTTCTGGTTTTCCTTTCGAGAGTGAAATTTTAAGCTCCTCCTCAAGTTATTTCTTCTTCTTTTTTTCATTATTGTCTTTCCTAAAATGTCACAGTTGGGGTAAGAAATAACATGTGATTTGACATGGACTCCTGGGTATCTTATATGTAAACATCTATCTTTTACACTCCATAAAGGCACCAGCTTTGCTTTTGACTCATAAGTGATTTACAAGTAGCAATGCCCATAGCATTAAGACCAATGTCTTTAACACAGAAGGTGCCCAATAAACATGACCACTAAGTCAGAAATTGTGTTTTCAGTAGTGGACTAACAAGAACTGAGGCTAACATTTCCTCAAAAATCAGGAAACAAATAAGAAAGAATTATTAGAGAGGGAAAAAGAAAAAATAAGGAAGCCAAAGCTAACATCTCAAGGAAGTTCTCCTCATATCTATGCTATTGTCTTTCAAGTCATCTTATGGTCCACAAAGATCTTTCTTAACACATTTGAGGGGTAAAGCACATTTGTATGGGATTTCATCCCATACAATAGTTTGGGTAGAAAAAAATTCCCCACATGAACTCCAGCTCGTTCCCAAGACCCCAGTTTCAACCTCTTCCCTCCAAGAAGCTAATTTTGCTTTTCCCCATTTTATTATCCTTTCTTGAGATGGTGCAAGATCCAGTAAAGAAAAAATGTTTTAAAACTGAAGAGGTTCTAAAACAGGATAAATAGCTTTCATATTATATTTTTTAAGTAAAAAAAAATTCAGTGAGATATGTGGAGTGTGCAAACCATTAAGTACCCAGTTCAATAAGTTT